GTGAGTAGGCCGGACGAGTGTGGATTTTAAGGGGGCGGGGCCACCTACGAGACGAGTGTGCCGTTGCGACCCGCCGGACCCGATTCTCCGCAAGGAAGAGTGCCGATCGACTACTATGGCGCCTTGGTGTTCAAGTATCCCGAGCCCGAGGGCGGTGTGTATGTCATGCTCGCCCATGCCAACTGGTGCTGGTACGACAGTGAGCTGGTGGTGACTTCCATGCGCGACGACTTAGAGGTGGAACGCCAGGAAACGCGAAGCCTGCAGTTGCCCAGCCGCTTCGACACGCGGCTGGCAGTCAGCCGTGACGGCAAGATTTTTGAGCGGTGCGGTGGGCGCAAGCCTTTCATGAGACCCGGGCCGGAGGGAAGCTTTTCTTCCCGAGTGATATGGGAAATGCCGAATCCCATTCGTGTCGGTGACGAGCTGTGGATCTACTACACTGGGGTTAACTGGGATGAGAACCGCATCGTCGATCCTACGGCGCAAAGCCATCTCAGCGGAATCGACCGTGCGGTTATGAGATTGGATGGATTTGTGTCGGCCGACGCGGATTACAGCGGCGGCGAAATCATCACCCCGTCGATTCGATTCGCAGGCAGGCGGTTGGAATTGAATGTAGACACCAGCGCTGGAGGCTCGGTACTGGTGGAACTCCAGCATGAGAACGGTCAGCCTGTACAAGGCTACAGCGAGAAGGAAGCCACGTTCATATGCGGCAACTCCGTTCGGATGCCCGTGTGCTGGGGGGAGAGACAGGATGTGAGTCAGCTATCGGGAAAGCCGATAAAGATACGCTTTGTCATGCGCGACTGCAAACTGTACGCGTTTCAATTCATATCTGACCACACAGTTTCCCGTCAATAATCGATTTGATAGCGACCTTCTTCGCAGCCAATTGTCCAGCGGTTCGACGCGTTCCAACCGCAGTGTACAAACAGGACCCTTATCCAGCGTGTAGCGCGACAATCAGGTTGAGAACCGAGCGACAATCAGGATGAGAAAACCGGTGTCGCAACGGCCGGGAGGATGACTCGGGAGGATCTTGTTCTGCAAGGCCCGCTGAGCACGGGGTGAGAGCCGCCGGGGCGATGTACCGCGCCGTCAGTGACCGGGCCTGTCGATGAGGCAGATCGGTCGGAATGACCGGATTCCGGGGGTATCAGTTACCCCCACGGCGGTGGAGAAAACGCGCTGACGGGCCGCTATGGAGCTGGCTCTTGCCGGCGCCGGGCGGACCGATGACGATCACGTTGGCGCCTTCGTCGAGCCAGCGGTCGCCGGCGAGCCCGATCAGGCGATCTCGTGCTCGGTCAGGGCAGTCAGCAGCCGTGCAGCAGGCCAGCCTTCGCGGTCGGCCTGCTTGGTGAACCGTGGCCACAGCGATCTGATGCGCGGCAGGCGCAACTCGCTGAGCATGAGGTTGAGTGCGGCCGCGTCGACGGACAACGGCTTGTTCATGCGGCGCCTGCCTGGGAGGCACCGAGCTGCTCGGGGTGGTCAAGCAACTGGTCGTAGTCGGCCAGCGACCCCTGGCGGATGTGCAACTGCGGCAGCGCGGACGGATCGGGGAGAAAGGACTCGGTCAGCTCGGCCAGATCGGGCAGCCGATGAGCCGCAAGCAGGTGCTCCAGGTGCTCGGCGAGGGTGGCCTCGCAGCCGTGGTCGTGCACCAGTAGAGCCGAAGACCGTCGTTCAACATCGCGCTGTCGGGATGACACACCTGTCACGCCGTTTTGCAGTCGATCGTGACCCTTCCAGTCGCGCTACGGCTGCTATCTCGGACGCCTCGCCCATGTTGGCCGCCCGTATCTGGTGAATCCGTAAACCGCTGCGTGACGTGCCACAGGATTGGCATCACCGGGCCGTCCGCCCCCTCGTGACCTTGCGCCCCCGCCTGTCAGCACCATCTTGCGGTCGCCTGCCACGATGTTGAGCGAATCGTGGTGGAGTTTCACGCCTACCGCTTCCAGCTCCTGCAGCGCATCAGAGGGCCGACCTCCGGCGATCGTGAAGACGGCACATCCACAGCAACCGGTCTTCCGCAGCGGCGAAGCCGCTGTCCGAGCTCTCGCGCTCGATCACTCGCAGTGAACGGGTTGCTCCAGGCGTTTGGGCACTCGCAGTCCTCCTTTCGCTGTCCCTCACCGTCATTCAACCGCATCGCGTGCGAACACTCAATAGGGAGCTTCTCCGCGGATCGCAGCCCTTGCTGGACGTCCAGCCGGTACTGTTGCCCGGCCAGCGGCAGCACCCTGCGAGTCACGCTGGTGTAACTGCCGGTCTTGCCCTTGACCGCCTTGCGCGATTGCTGCATCCTCAGTCGATAGACAGATTCGTGTGGTTCCATCGTCGATGTCCTTGTGTCGATCAGCCCGCCCTCACGTGCTTCGTTGTTTGCACGTACGAACCGTGCACCGAGGGGGTCTCTTGGATGCCGAGGAGGGGTCGTTTTCGGTGCCGGCCCCGGGATCGCTAAACGCCGAGAGCGTTACTTACGATGCCGCGTTACCATCGGCGATTGCTAACTCAGGAGGACCTCGAGCAAAATTGCAGGTTTCTGTGAAAGAGGAGCATCATGGACCATCATGTAATCGACGTAGGATCGAGTAAACAGCTCTTTGTGGATAGGATGTTCATGGATTCCAGCACGGGTGTGGAGCTCGTGATGAATCCGCCTTATCCGACGGGGCAGCCGGTGCTCGTTCTAGATGAATCCTGGGAAACGCAGCCTGAAGCTCGTCTCGGACGTACCTACAACTGCGTAGTGAAGGAGGATGACGGTAGCATCCGAATCTGGTATTCCGTTGACGACCCGGCTAATGATGAACGATACGTCAGTTATGCCGAGTCCAGCGACGGCATCCATTTCACCAAGCCTGTGCTCAATCTCGTCGACGTCGGTGGAACCACCGCCAACAACGCCGTTTTACCCAGCATGATTGGTGGGAGCTCGGTGTGGATCGACCCGAATGCGCCACCCGAGGAGCGCTACAAGACGCAGACGAAGGTCTACTCACCGGAGGTATGGGGCCAGTTCCACATGCACAGCTCGCCCGACGGGATTCGTTGGAAGCTGTTCGAGAATGTCCGAATCGGCCGGGGCGGCTGGGATACCCAGAGCATCGTCTTCTGGGACCCGCGAATCGGGCGCTACGTATTGTACACCCGCTACTGGGTCGCCAAACGACACGGGACTGCTGAGGGCAACGAGAGCTACCGTACGGTGCGGCGGCTCGAGTCGGATGACTTGCGCCGATGGGACAACCAGAGCATCGTGATGTGGCCGGACGAGGTGGATCTGGCCACCTACGAGACAAGTGTGCCGTTGCGACCGACGGGACCCGATTCTCCGCACGGAAGAGTGCCGATGGACTACTATGGCGCCTTGGTGTTCAAGTATCCCGATGCCGAGGGGGGTGTCTATATCATGCTCGCCCACGCGAACTGGTGCTGGTACGACAGTGAGCTGGTGGTGACTTCCGTGCGCGACGACTTAGAGGCGGAACGCCAGGAAACGCGAACGCTGCAGCTGCCCAGCCGCTTCGACACGCGGCTGTCAGTGAGCCGTGACGGCAATAGTTTTCAGCGGTGCGGTGGGCGCAAGCCCTTCATGAGACCCGGGCCGGAGGGAAGCTTTTCTTCCCGATCGATATGGGAAATGCCAAATCCCATTCGTGTCGGCGACGAGCTGTGGATCTACTACACCGGAGCTAACTGGGATGAGAACGGAATTGTGGATCCTGCGGCGCAAAGCCGTCTCAGCGGCATCGACCGTGCCGTTATGAGATTAGATGGATTTGTGTCGGCGGATGCCGATTACAGCGGCGGCGAGCTCCTGACCCCGTCGATTCGATTTTCAGGCAGGCGGCTAGAACTGAATGTGGACACCGGCGCAGGAGGCTCGGTCTGGTAGAACTGCAGCACGACAACGGTCAGCCTGTACCAGGCTACACCGCAAAAGCGAAGCCACGTTCATCTGCGGCAATTCAGTTCGAATGCCGGTGTGCTGGGGGGAGAGACAGGATGTGAGCGAGCTGGCGGGAAAGCCGATAAAGATACGTTTTGTCATGCGCGACTGCAAACTGTACGCGTTTCAATTCATGTCTGACCGCGCCCCTTCCCGTTGAGCGACGACCGCGCAGCCGGAGCCCGTCATGGATCGAACAGGCAGAGCGCGTGACCTGTTTGCCGAAGCTGCCCGAGGAATTGTCGGAATGGGCCCCGCGTCCCGCCGACCGGACCCACCCAGGTTTACGCCACAACGGAGTCGCGGCGACATGGCGTAGTCCCACCGCTCTGCTTGTGTTCGCCTGGCGACTCTACCTCTGACGACTCTACCTATCGGTATCTGGGCCCTTTACCGGTCTGCCGGCGCAGGCGCTCCTCGTGTGACATCTCCGCAAGGAGCAGGTTTTCCTCAGTTACGGACAGACATCGACCAATTTCGCGGTACCCGCGGATAAACGTCTCAGCGTAGCCGATGTGAGCCTTCCAACCTTGAAACCCGGCATTGGATTCTATCCGCTTTTCCGCCAACTCCGGAGTGTGCCCCTGGGATTCAAACAATATTTCCGCTTTCTTCCGATTCTCAACCTGATCGGAAATGTCGATACACACGTCCACTTCATGAAAAGCGTAATCGACACCCGTATAGTACACCGAAGCCACTTTGTGAGGAGCGTGTCCCCGATCTCTGTCGGGGATGCTTATATGCTGGAGTGCTCTTTGAACCGTTATGCCGGCAGCCGTATGGTCGTCGATCCACGCGTAGTGACTGCGTCGATCCGGTAGCGTATACGGTGCATGGGTCAGCACCATCTGTGGTCGCACATCGTACAGAATCTCAGCCAGGGTTCGCACGATTTCATCGGTCACCTCGATAGGGTTGTCGGAAAAGGGGAGAATCCGCACGTCGGCTATGCCGAAGAGTTCACACACGTTCACGAATTCCCGTGCTTTGCTCGCTGCGTATTCCTCCTGTGATCGACCGACGATGGTCATGTCCCTCTGATCCGGCGACTTACGCAGCTCGTCTGCCAGTTCCTCGTCGTGCGTCGTCTGACCCCCGGTGATCGCTACGGCTGTGACACGATCACCACGTTCCACGTGATGCGCACAGGTGCCAGCCATGTGACACAGGTCATGCGGATGGGCCACGATCACGAGCAGCCGCATGCCATCTCGTCCTTCCGAAGGCATCAGTCGTTCCCCTGAAGCCACTTCGTTGCCGCTACGTGAGTGACACCGTCGCCGAGCGTAAAATAGTAGACTGTGTACAGCGAGCCGTCTGCCAGCTCGACCGTCTTTTCGGATAGCCCAGATCACTCGGACTGCCCATACCGGCTACGACGCCATCTGTAGTAAGCCCGTCTTTGCGCAGGACGATCTCGCGCTCGACATCCCATGTCCTGCCGCCGTCATGAGAAAAACACCCGCGTACATACACCATACGGAGGCCGTCGGTGTCCGTAGCTGCAGAGCACGTCTCCGTTCCGCAGCATCGACAGATGCGCCGGATATCCCCACATCTCCGTCTTCTTTGGCTCACTCCACGTTTTGCCGCCATCGTCGGAGTGCGTCTGCCATAGATACTTCTCTTCCTCCGGGATACTCTTGCTGCCGCTAGCGGTTCGAACCATCGCTATGATACGTTCCTCCCCCGGCACATACAACAAGCTTGTCTCATTGAAGGGATGTACCCCCCCATCATAGGCCATCGTCACCATTTCCCATGTCTCCCCTCGGTCTTCCGAACGCAGTACCCATGCCCGATAGGGATCCCCCGCCACCGTGTTTCCGTAGACCTGTTGCACGATCGTATCGTCCGGAAGCACACAACCTCTGAACTGGAGGTCGGCTCCGTGAATGAGTGCAACAAACGGCAGCTCTTCCCCGCTTCTCAGCTCTCTACTCTCCCACCTATCCTGTCCCGCGTTCTTTCGCTCGATCATCAGTCGATGCCCTACGTGTATTCGCCCGTCGCGGCAGGTCTTCCACTGAGAAACCACGTCCTACGAATTCCTCCCTTCGCTCCGCAGAAAATGCGTCCGCTGGTCGGGATATCCGGACTTGCGTGCCGTCACTAAGCACCGCACTCCTGAGCTTCTCGGGGCATACGCGGTAGCCTTGATCTTTCCCTTCCTCAAACCAACTCGCACCCCCGTTTGGAGAGAAGAGCTCGACATGACCGGTCTCTCCTCCGGCCAATCCGCCCATATGGGAGTGGGCCGCTCCTCCGCTACCACGAGCGTTTGGGGTATGGGAATTCCAGTTAAAGCTCACCCAGAGCGCATCCGCATCGCCTATTACCACGCTCGGAAAACTCGAATAGCGAGCTTCGTGCCAATACAGGATAGTGTCCATATCAATCCTCCTTGAACTTCTCTGAACTGCTGCGATGAATGCCCGAGCGGCGACCCGTTTCGCGGTAATGACCCTTCGGCTCTGGAACGCGCGCCATAGCGGCACCTCTACTCTTCTAACAACTGTATGCTTTCGAGCATTTCTTCCCACGTCGGCATGAACGCCTTGAGCAAGCGCCTCGACCGCGCAAGAACTCGAAGACTGAATGTAACATCGTCTTTGTGACCCAAGATGAGAATCGCGGCGCTATATCTGTTCCGCAGGGTGCCGCTTATCGCCGGAACTCCGAAGATCTCGATTTCCGATATCTCGCTCTCCTTCGGCTTCGCATATCCGTACAACACAACAGCAGCTTCGAAGAACTCCCGCAGGGGCTCGTGGGCAATATCCGAGCGGATAAGACTACCATTGACCTTGGCCGTCAAATACTGTGTTTCACTCATCGTGAATATTACCTGATAGCCGGAAACCTTGGTTTGTATAGATGCCACGGGAGCATCGTCGCCTTTTTCCGCGGACAATGGGCTCTGGCCATAGATCCACGTGAATCCAGTATCATCGAACCGGAAAGACAGTCGTTCGCTTTCCCACTCGTTTTCAGCAACGGCGACTACCTTTTCCCCGATTTGTGCGGTAGACCACCCTCCCGGATAATCCATACTGAATCCGAAACCGAGCAAATCGAGAGTCCCGGACAGTTCCATATCAGCCGGTTTGCCACAGCTCGCCAGCAGGAGCACAACGACCGCCAAAAGGATCTTCCGGCGCATATTGGCGTTTCTCATTAGACCGGGCATCTCACACTCCGCCTGAAAAGACAGGCAACCGCCTGTAATCCGTGTTTGGAGCGAGTCTCGCCGGCGCATGTCTCCCTTCATCACTGGGTAGGGAGCCGGGGTCACCCCCGCCGTCCTCCCGCGCCCACCGTGACGTACGGTTCCGTATACGGCGGTTCACGAAGCCATCCGCCAGCGACCGTGCTGGGAGAGAAGGCTCCACCAGTCCATGTTCAGCAAAGGAACGCTTCTGCAGCGCCGCGTTCATCACCTTCCGATGCTCCGTGTCGCCTCCTCGCGACGGGCACCCTTGCCTTCAACTCACCGTTCCCCCTGCCGGGCCGGTAGAGGACCTGGCTTGCTCCGCGCACGCCGCACCTCCTGGCGAGAGCCGATGCCGGGCGCAGGAACGAAAAGGGGAGGGCTTTGAAGCCCTCCCCTCTCAGCGGCGTTCTCATCGACAGTAGTACCCCTACCAATCGTAGACGAACTCGCCGTTTTCTACGCGCTCACGAACGGACTCCGGCAATCCAACGAGGTGAAAATATGGCACCCCCGGATACGGTGGCAAACTGAGCGGCCCCTCCTGTATCGCCGCCAAGAGCTCTTCACCTCCAGAGTTCATGAATTTTGTCACGTACGCGTCCCAATCCTCGTCGAGGTTCACCACGCCACCGATGGCTTTCCACTTGAACTCGTCTCGTATGGTGTTCAACGCCGTGGCATACTGCTGCACCGCCTTCGGCAATTGGTAATTCACCGCTTCCCCTAGTACGTCGAATCTCAGCGGAATGAATACCCGGTTGGACAGCGCCCCGGGCGGTTGAGTGAGCTCCGTCCACTCGCTCCACGCAGGATCCCATCTATAGAAGGCCATCTTAGGAGGCACGTTCTGGTACCTGTACACCCCCAAGCCATCGGGATGGCCGCCACCGGTCTTCCATTCAGACGTGATGACGATGTTGGAGTTGTACGGCTCGCCGCCCCAGGTGTAGTGCTTTCCCTCAACACCAAAGATCGACTGTACCTGACCCTCTCCATCCCAGTTGAGCCAATCCATGATCTCCAGAGCTTTGGCCAGTTTCGCGTCGTCCACGGTCTTGTTCACACTCCAACCCCAACCGTAGCGAAATGGAGGATAATCCGTTGGACCGCCGGCAAAACCATCGGGCCCCGTCCAGTGCGGAAGCACCATCACCTTAGCCTCCGGATCGCGATCCCAGAGATTCTTCGGGGGCCTCGTCGTTTCATCCCAACAGATGAAACAGTCAGCAGTGATTCCTACCATTCCAGCGCCCATCAAGGGGTGCATGTCGGAGTATTGTCCAGCGGGAAGTTCTTGGTTGATCAGCTTGTCCGCATACCATTTCTGCATGTAGCGCAGATACGATCTCCAGCCCTCGGACAGTACACCAATCCTCTCGACCCCGTCCTCGATTTTGCTAAACTGAAGATTCTCTCCATCCACATACCACATCCCCGAGACCGGGCGAGATCCCCGGTGGTTTCTGACCATGTAGTATGCGATCGTGTCCGCCTTGCCGTTTCCGTCCAAATCCGCATCACGGAAGGTGTACATCATCTCCTCGAGCTGATCTAACGTGTATCCCTTCTTATGCGCAAAAGCCTTGCCGGCATACTGTTCATAACCCCCTCTATCCAATTGGATCACGTCCTCGGCCGCCGGCGCCATTCCCACTCGTTCGAGCCAATCCAGTCGAACATACGGAAAGTCGCCCGCGCCGATCCCGTGCCCCGCATATCCGGTAATCGTATAGAAGGCGTCCGGATCGTCGGGTGCAACCTTCACGTCCCACATCGGCGGGTTGTCGGTAAGAAACTGCGCGAAATTCGGCGCATGTTCTCTCACCATTTCCTTCGGAATGCTGCGCGACACGCCATCTCGATACAGCCGCATCGGGTTCGTTTCAAACTGCCCCACATCGGGCAGGTTTACCCCTGACGTGATCATCAGTTCTCTGGCAGCCCGGTCGTTGATGTGGACGGTGTGGTTGATGATCTTGACACCGAACTTCTCTTCTATCTGTCGCTGCATCCAGTTGCCTTCAGGGGCGTCTGCGGTTCTTGGTCCCGACCAAATGATCTCGATGAGCGCAGACCCTTCGGTCTCTTCCGCTTCAGGAGCCGCGAAGCCCACCATCGGCAATACCAGGAGTACAGCTACGATTGGAGCCATCGTCCAAAGTCCCGTTCGTTTCATAACGGTTGTCCTCTCCTTAAGACTCGTCGCTAAGATATCTGACATGACGTCAGACCGTTTCTAATCACCCGCAAATCACCTCCTTTCCTCAATAGTAGTGTCGTGCGTCGTGTCCATATGACCCATCGATCTATCTAAACGCGCCAAGCATAATACCCCGCACGAAATATCTCTGCGCAAACGGATATGCCAACACGATCGGTCCGATCGTTATAAGGACGATCACTGCCTGCACCGACTCCGGCGGTATAATCACGGGAAGCTGCAAATTGTACATCTCGAACTCCCGATAATTCTCCAGCAGGTTCCGCATCCTATGCAGGATCAATTGCAGGACACGCTTACTTGGACTTTGAATATAGATCAATGAATCAAACCATGAATTCCAGTGCGACACTGCTGTCCATAGTCCTATGATAGCCATCATCGGTTTCGACAGAGGTGCGACTATTCTAAACAGGACCGTCGTACGCGTCGCTCCATCCATCAAGGCCGATTCTTCCATCGCCGGATCCACAGCCATCAGGAAGTTCCTTGCGATGATGACGTAGAAAGCGTTCACCGCGGTCGGAATAACATACACCCAGCGAGAGTCAAGAAAACCCAGGCGCAATACCAGCAGATATGTGGGTATGAGACCGCCGCCGAAGAACATGGTAAATACGAAGAACATCATGATATACGTCCGCCCAGGAAGAAATCTCTTTGATAGGGAGTAGCCCGCACAGAGAGTAACGAGGAGCGTGAGCGTAGTACCGACCACGGTTCGGAATATCGTATTCAGATAACCGATGCCAATGGCCAGAGAACGGTCGGTGAAGACCCATATATACGGCTCTATGTCCAGGTCTTGTTCCAAATCTTCAAACCGATATGCTGCAACTCGAGCGCGTCGGAGAACGACGCCAAGAGAAGGGTCCAAAACGGATAAACAAAGAGAAACGCCAACACGACGAGCATGGTATAGAGAAGCGCGTCGAAGAACCTGGTTCCTATTGTGCGTGACCGCGTATACATACGCTGGTGACCTACCAGAGTCCATATTCCGTGAAGCGTCTGATGATCGTATTCGACAGTACCACCAACGTTACGCCTACGACGTTCTTGAACAATCCCACCGCGGCAGAGTAGGCGAATTGAGCCATCATAATACCCCTCCGGTAGACGTAAGTATCAATGATGTCAGCTCGCTCGTATACCATCGGGTTGTATAGATTGAATATCTGGTCGAATCCAGCATCCAACATTTGACCCAGATTTATAATGAAGAGGATCGTTATCACCGGGACGAGAGAAGGTATCGTGATATAGATCGCCTGTTGGATACGATTCGCACCATCGATGGCTGCGCTTTCGTACAGATAGGTATCGATGGACGACAGCGCTGCCATATAGATTATCGCGGTCCATCCGACCCCCTGCCATATGGCGGTGACGACCAAGAGCCCTCGGAAGGTGGGAGAATAGGTCAGAAAGTTGATCGCCTCCATTCCAGGAGTCGAACACGGAGGCGACGATACCCCTCGACGGGTGAAAGAGCTGGGTGACTATTGTGCCTAGAACCACCCATGAGACAAAGTGCGGAAGATACGATATTGTCTGGAACGTCTTTTTGAACGCCACATTTCTTAGTTCGTTGACGAGCAAAGCGAGAAGGATTGGCATAGGAAACCCGAAGACAATATGATAGAATCTTATGATTATCGAGTTTCGGAACACGCGGAGAAAGAAGGGGTCGTTGAACAACATCTTGAAGTGAGCGAAGTCGTTCCAGGGGCTTCCAAGTATACCTTTGCCGTAACTGAATTCCGTGAAGGCCATGGCGATGCCCCAGATCGGAACGTAGTGAAAGATGATCAGGAGGCCAACGGCGGGCAGCAACAGGAGGTAGAAGGTCGACATGCTCTTGACTCGTCGCCACCGTTTGCCTGCTAACAGATCCTTCGTGACGACGGGGGAAGACACTCGCGTGGAATTCGACACTAGACTCCAAGTTGACGTCACGGTGATGCGCCGGGCGAGGCGCTCGCGCTTGGCTTTACGACCTTGGCTTGTACGACCCTCGTGCACTGTGCACGGCTCATGAGTTGGCGCACGGCTGCGCTTGGCGGCCTGGTTGTGCGCCTGCACACGGGATCTCGGCTTCCCGTTACCCATCGATTTTGGCCTGCGCGCCTGCTCTCTTTTCGCAGCTCGATCTCAGCGCCCCCGGTACCCTATCTAGCGTCAGATCGTGCGCGCACCGAGGCTGCTCGCTCGTCCCGCGTGGTGGTCTTCGTCGACCTCGGGCGGCCGGCTCCCTCAATGCCCGCGCGCCGCATCAGCCGCCCGACCCGCTTCGGGCTGACCCGCTCGCCGGCGGGCAGCGGCTCGGTGTGTTGGGGGGATCCTGCGTCCGCCGTGAACGCCTCGCGGTTGGACTGCCAGATCGTCTTGATCTGCTCCAGCAGCCTCGTACACCTCCGCGCCAAGTCGTTGGTCCCGGCGTTTCGTCCGACTGCATGCACCATATCGACCTCTGCTGGCTGGCGAAGCTCCGGCGGTACGACTCGAAAAAGATGGGGTGTTCTCGGTCCATCGTACTCCTTCTTTCGTGCTCATGCTGGATGTGGCACGAGAGCGGGCAGGTCCAGCGGTAAGTAGACCACTATAGGCGCACGTGCGCGGCTGTCAAGGGCCAATTGACCATATTGGTCGAGGACTTTTACTTTTGTCTTTTCTTCTTTCTTTTTCTTTCTTACTTTTCTTTTTTCTCTATATTTGGTGTCACTTTTTTTTTTGTTACTGTGGTCCTTTCTTTCTTTTCTCCCTCTCGAGACGCTATTCCTGCGATATTGGTGGATGTGTGATTCGCTCCTATCCTAAGCTTTATACGTAGATGCCCTTTCTAGATCCGCTGTTGGGTTTAGCCGCCTGTTGTCTCAACTGGGATTGCTTATTTTGAGTGCTCAAGGCTTGTCGGGTATTGATTTAAGCTGGGGGGTTGGGATAGGGTGAGGGTGAAATTGTTTTGCTGGGAGCTAAAAGTGGTGGCACAGACTATTAGTTGTAGTCGAATGTTAGTGGTAATCGCTGGTGAGCTGTGCGATGCGACGAGCAAGCGGGGCTGAGCCATAGGGATTGGGTAGTGGTCGTTGGTGTTATTGGCGATGGTTTCTGAGTAGTGTTTATTGGCTTGTTAGGTGAGGTCTTTTTTTTGGGGGAGTGAGGTCGCTTGGAGTCGCCTTCTATCTTGAGTTCCTCGGGTAGTCTGACGGGCGGCGTTGCCGGGGACGAGCCTGTTCGTGAGGTGGGTGAGTGGATTGGTAGGACCCCTATGTTTGCCGCTGTAGGCCGGGGCGCGAATCTGGGAGTCTTCCGTGCTGCCCGACGGTCGAGTCCGGCGCGGAGACGCTCTGTGGTCGAAGCGCTCATCGTAGGAGTCGACGAGGAGCGGTTCGCACACCGCGCATCAACGCCCTGGTCTGTCGCCGGTTTCCCCATCTGCTATGCTCTGAGCGCACCGATGGCCTGGCCTGCTCGCATCGCCGCGATCGTCACCACATTCTTTCCCAACAGCCACGCCGGCGTCCTGGCGGCCAAGTTCCTCACCGGCTTTCCCACCGACGAGGGGCTGATCCCGCCGCGCACCCGCCTGGCCTCGCTGTACATCGATCAGATCCATCGAGCCGACGTGGGACTGCAGGCCGCCCGGCAGTACGACGTGCCGGTCTTCAGAGCATTCCCGCCGCCCTGACGCTGGGAACCGGCGATCTGGCCGTGGACGGGGTGCTCCTGATCGGCGAGCACGGCGACTACCCGCGCACCGCCCTGGGCCAGGAGATGCTGCCGCGCCGCTGGCTCTTCGAGCAGGTGTGCGGGGTGATCGCCGAGCACGGCCGGCCCGTGCCGGTGTTCGTCGACAAGCACCTGTCCTACCGGTGGGCCGACGCGCGCTGGATGTACGACACCGCGCGCGAGCTGCGCGTGCCGCTCTGGGCCGGCTCCTCGCTTCCCGTCCACTGGCGCGGCCGAACTTCGAGCATCCGCTCGGAGCTCGGCTCGACGAGGCGCTCGCCACCGGCTTCCACATGCTTGAGCGCTACGGGTTCCACGCGCTGGAGTCCCTGCAGTGCCAGGTGGAGCGCCGCGCGGGCGGCGAGACCGGGGTCACGGCCGTGACCTGCCTGTCAGGCGAGGACGTCTGGCGGGTCGGCCGGCGCCGGCCGCTGGCCCACCGACCTGGCCGATGCCGCACTGGCGGCGACGAAGCCCGGACCCGGCCGGCTTGAGCCGGAGCGTGTCCGCGATCCGCACGTGTTCCTGATCGAGTATGCCGACGGCCTGCGCGGGACGTGCTGATGCTCGGCGACGACGGCTACGTCCGAAATTCGCCTACGCCGGCCGGCGGGGAGACGCATCGACGCGTTCGAGTTCCATGGAGATGAGGGCCCCAACCGCGCGCACTTCAGCTACTTCGGCCTGGGCGTCGAGGACTTCCTGCTGTCCGGCCGGCCGCAGAGCCCCGTGGAGCGGACGCTGCTCACCACGGGCGTGCTGGAGGCGGCGATGATCTCCCACCACCGCGGCGGCCGGCGCATCGAAACCCCCCACCTGGACATCTCCTACGCGCCGATGACCGGCGCGGTCCGCCGCCCGACGGGATCCGAGCCGATCGGTGCATCGCTGCAGCCCGCGCCCATGCCCGAGCCCGGCACCACCCCGGCGGCCGAGCCGATCCCCGTCGACGAGGACGGCACAATTCGGTCAGCGCGTCACGATTGATCACAGCGCTGAACTATAATACATGAAACTTGCAAGTTTTGTGTATTATAGATGTCGAAATGCAGAAATACGCCGAGTACTCGATGCTCCATGACGCGGTCGAAGTGCAGCGGCGGGAGCTGCAGTCCCGGCTGAGCGAGCGCTACGTCGAGCGCCGGCTCGGTGTCCCGTACGGCGACGACGACCTGATCAAGGTGATCATCGGCCCGCGCCGCTGCGGGAAGTCCTTTCTGGCGATGCACGTGCTCTCGCAGGCCGCCTCGCGCGGGTATCTCAACTTCGACGATGAGCGCCTCGTAGACGTGGAGGACTACGACCGGCTCCTCGCCGCGGTCAACGCCGTGTACGGGAATCCCCGTCATCTGCTGCTCGACGAGATCCAGAACCTGCCGAAATGGGAGCTCTTCGTGAATCGCCTGCAGCGTCAGGGGTACCGGCTGCTGCTGACCGGCAGCAATGCGCACCTGCTGAGCGGTGAGCTGGCCACTCACCTGACCGGGCGGCACCTCCCCATCGTCCTCTTTCCCTTTTCGTTCGGCGAGTCCCTGAGCGCCTTCCCTGCCACGCGCACCGGCACGGAGCTGGCGGCAGCCCTCCACCGCTACGCCCGAGACGGCGGCTACCCGGAGCCCCTGCTGCATGACGTGGACCGCGGCTTCTACCTGCGCACCCTGTGGGACTCCGTCCTCTACAAGGACATCGTCCGGCGCCGTCGCATCCGCTCGGTCGCGGGCATCGAGGACCTGGCCGGCTACCTGCTCGCGAATGTGGGGCGGGAGTACTCGCTGAACCGCCTGACCACCGTGACGCGGTGCCGGAGCGTCCAAACGGTAGCCAAGTACATCGACCACCTGCAGGAGGCATTCCTGTTCTTCTCGCTCCCGCGTTTTTCATTCAAGGCCAGGGAGCAGGCAACCGCCAACCGCAAGATCTACTGCATCGACAACGGGCTGGTGACCGCCCGCGCTACGCAGTTCAGCTCCGATCTGGGCAGACTGATGGAGAATCTGGTCGCCGTCGCGCTGCACAAGCGTGAGCTGGACGGCGCGTGCCAGGTCTTCTACTGGAAGGACGCGCGGCAGCGGGAGGTCGACTTCGTGGTGAAGGAGGGTCTCCGGGTGACTCAGCTCATCCAGGTCTGCTGGGACATGACCGCACCGACGACCCGGCAACGCGAGATCCGCGCCCTTCTCCGGGCCGGCACAGACCTTGCCTGCGACCGGTTGCTCGTCCTCACGGCCGACACGGACGCCGAAGAGGACGTGGAATGGTATGGGACGCAGGGCCGGATACGGCTGCGTCCGGTCTGGCGCTGGCTCTCCGCGCCGCTGGCCGGCGCCTGATCGTCAGTCGTCCAGCCGCGCGCCGACCCACTCGCTGCGGTTGGAGGTGATGTCGACCACGTTGCCGTCCGGGTCGAGCACCTTGAAGGAGACGGGCGGCGGCTGGGTGGGATCGATCGGCTTGCGCTCCTTGACGCTCTCCTTCGAGAACGACACCCCCAGCTCGTGCAGTCGCCGCCACACCGCGTCCAGGTCGTCGACGACGACCCGAAGTGGACGAACTCCTCGCCCTCCTCGTACTGGCGGCGGTCGGTCGGGTCCTGGTCGATCAGCGTGATGTTGAGCACGCCGTCGGTGAGGTCCATGCGCGCCTGCTCGGGCGAAAGCCCAGGAACCTCCACCCGAATACGGTCTCGTAGAAGGTCCGTGAGCGGTCCATGTCGCCGCAGCGCAGTGCCAGGTGCCGGAGCTGTGCCATGCGGTGGACGGTACTTCCGGCCCGCATCCGTCGCAAGGGGCAAACTCCCATGATAAGTTCGGGGCCATGGCGACGGACATCACGACCGAGTCTCCAGGATCTGAAGACCGACCCCGCGATGCGGAAGCATTTCGAGTCGATGGACGAGTATGGCTACACGATCCTCGAAGACGCGCTCACCCCGCGTCAGATCGACGAAGCGATCCGGGAGATCGAGATCACCTACCGGGGAGGGCAGCGCCACGGAGCACGAGCCCGGCACCCTGCGCACCCACAACCTGTCGGCGCGCGCCGAGGTGTTCCGCGAGATGCTGCAGGTGCCGCGCGTGATGGCCTGCCTGGCCTACCTCCTGGGCGACGATTACATCCTGTGCGACTCGGGGGCGCGGTCGCCCATGCCGGGGATGCAGGCGCAGGGGCTGCACCGTGACGGGGACGACTTCATGCCCAACCCGCCCTACAAGGTGCACGCGGTGGTGCCCACGTTCGCGCAGTCGCTGTTCGCGCTCTCCGAGTTCACCGCCGAGAGCGGCGCCACCCGCTTCGTGCCGGGCTCGCACGTCAAGGACCTCGACTCGAAGAAGATCCCCGCCGAGGACGAGCGCCGGTTCATCTGCAAGCCGGGCGCCTGTCTGGTCTACGACGGCCGGCTGATGCACGGCGGTGCGCCCAACAACACGGGCGAGGCTCGCTACGCCGTGCTGAACTTCCACTGCCGCGCGCGCATGAAGCCGTTCTGCGACCATACCCGCTCGATCCCGCGCGACATCGTCGAAGCGGCCTCCCCCACGCTGCGCCGGCTGTGGGGCTTCGAGTGCCAATCCGCGTGGGAGGAGTCACCGCGCAACTACAAGATCATCGAGGTAACCGGCGCCAAGCCGCGCTTCGAGTACCAGGGCATCGCCGCGGTCAAGGAACGGGAAAAACGGCAGAAGGTGGAACAGGCGCGGGCGGTGTCCCGATGAGTGCCGCAGACGACGCCGCCCTCCTGGAGACCGTGACCGCGAGCCTGCCCGAGCTCGCCGAGATCCGTGACGCCGCCCTGCGCGACAAGGTAGCGCGCGCCTGGGCCTGGTCCCTGGCGCGGAGCTCGTTCAACGCCATCGACGAGATCCCCGGTTCCGGCGTGCCCGACTCGCCGCGCATGAAGCGCGGCACCCAGCTCGACCACATCCGCGGGGTCGCGCGCCTCGCACTGGCGATGGGCGACGAGATGAAGAGCCGGTTCCCGGAGCTGCCGATCGACCGCGACCTGCTGGCGGCCTGCGCGCTCTGCCACGACGTGGGCAAGCCGTTCGAGTTCGACCCCGACACCAGCGGCGCTGGCGCGCCAACACCGTCGCCACCGGCCTGCCGGCGCTCCGCCACACCCTGTACGGCGTCCACGTCTGCCTGACGTGGGGCTCCCCGAGGAGGTGTGCCACGCCGCCGGCTGCCACTCCGGCGAGGGCGAGCTGGTGCAGCGCTCCCTGCACGTGAGCATCGTGCATCAGGCAGACGTCGTGTTCTGGCAGACCCTCACCGACGGCGGCGCCATGGAAGACTGCAGCCTGACGCCTATCGTCATCGACCATAATTGGAATGCAAATGGAGAACATGAGGCCGATCAAGAACGAAGTCGATTACGATATGGCATTGGATGCCATCGATAGACTCATGGGCGCTGCGCCGGACACTCCGGAGAGCGACGAGCTTGAGGTGCTCGTCACTCTCGTGGAGGCATACGAAGCCAAGCACTGGCCGATAGATGAGCCGGAACCAAGGCGTTCGTGTGCCGGTGCTGTTGGTCACTGATGCCTCCCGATTCAGAGATCAGGACGGGCGGCTGATGACGGTTGCAGATATCGAGTCAAGACTCAGTGAGCTTCACGAACTGCCGACGCCCGTCAAGTCGTGGATCGTCGAGTTGGGGGCTGACGAGACAGACGAGCCTGCCGTGTGGGTGTGGATCACTCTCGACCGCGAATTCGACGAGGTAACGGCCGAGGAGCGGGCAGAGTTGCGCGAGCTCGTGCGCACTTCGGTGCGCGCCTGGGTTCGGGATGAGGCGCACTGGGTATACGTGCGGTTCCACGACGGAGTGTTGTCAAAGGCAGGGGCGTGAACCTCCACAGCGAACTGCTCCGGCAGGCTCGTCATCTTGCCACCAAGGAACCGCGACGGCGTTGCAGGCGAGCCTGCGGCGCGCCGTATCGGCTGCCTACTATGCTCTTTATCACTTGCTGGTCGATGATGCGGTCCGCCGCATGGTCGCCGCGCATCGCCATCCGCTCCGTGATTGCCTGCGGCGCGCGTTCGATCACGGAACCATGAGAAGGGTAGCGCAACAGTTCGCAGCCTCCAGTGTTGCCCCGAGGCTCAGGCCCGGATTGCAGGGAGAGCCGCTCCAGCCGGAACTCGAGCTGGTCGCCGCGACGTTCGTCGATCTTCAGCATGCGCGTCATGAGGCTGACTACAACACGGCTTGGCGATCGACACGTCCCGACGCTCTGGGGCTGATCGAGCAGACGGAGGATGCCTTTGCGTGCTGGCGCAGCGTGCGGCGCACCCCCCAAGCTGACACCTTTCTGATCGGGCTGCTCATCTACGACAAGCTGCGCGGCTGAACCCTGGTCAGTCGTCGGCTGAAACGTGACCAACGCCATACCGACGGCGGCGCCATGGAGGACTCAGCCTGATACGTCCAGCCTGATCCAGCGGATGCGGGTGGACCAGTCCTCGAAGCACCAGAACGCGACCAGCACCTCGCCGCCGCCACGCTCGAGCATCTGCGGAAAGCCGAACTTCAGCGCCGCGAGCTCGTCCGAGGCGCCGCCGGCGCCGGTCATCCCCGAGTCGGCCAGTCCGCCGTTCCAGAGCAGCAGGTGCTCCTCGTGCTGCCAGGCGCCTCCGTTCATGGTGCTCAGCGCCGCCCACAGCCCCGGCCGGTCGGCGCGGCGGTAGACGAACAGCACCCGGCCGTCCTGCAGCGCCAGCGCCTTGCAGGTCTGTCCCAGCAGTCCCAGCTCGGCCGGCGGCGCGAAGCTGCGCCCGCCGTCGGAACTCAGCGCGTACCGGTTCGGGCGGTGCGTGCCCGATTCGGAGTGGAACACCCAGCTCACCGCCAGCACGCGGCCGTCCGCGAGCTGCACCACCGACACCTCCCAGTGCTCGACCCCCTCGGCGGTGCCGTCGAACATCACCGCGTACCGCGGCCACGTGCGCCCGGCGTCGGCGCTCTCCAGCACCACGGTCTTGAGGCCCTCCGGACGCTCCCCGTCCCAGCCGGCCCAGGTGGCCGTCGGCGCCAGCCAGCGCCCGTCGGGCAGCTCCACCACGCGTGGCAGATCTCGAACGCGGGCCCCGTCAGCGGCGGCGTGATCACCCGCGGTTCGCTCCAGCTCGCCCCCCGGTCATCGAGCGCACCAGGATCAGGTCCATCGGTACCATGCCCATGGTGACGTGGTTGACGATCCCCTCGCCCGGATCGTCGCGCCGGTGCAGCGCTCCCAGGCCGACCAGGCCGCCGGCGGCGGCGCTCAGCCGGACCGAGTGGGTGTACCCGTCCGCGTAGCGGTCGTCCAGGAGCGGTCCTTCCTGCTCCCAGGTGGCGCCGCCGTCCCGCGACCGTGCGAGGTAGGTGCGGTAGTCCAGGCCCTCCACCGCCACACCCACGTCGTAACCGCACAGCAGCTCGCCGCCGCCCAGGTCGACCAGCGTGGGATGGAAGGCGTGCCTGGTGCACAGATGGGGCTTGGGGTTGGCGTACACCAGACCGTTCCCAGGATGCGCATCAGCCTTCCCTGCTCACCCGGCTCACAGCAGCGACAGGTCCCGCAGGCCCGGCGCGCAACCGCTCCAGCTCGGCAGTCGTGTAGTCGGACAGCGGCGGCCGGCGCCAGCGGCCGGAGATCCCGGCAAGCTCCATCATCGCGTGCTGGGCGGCGTCGATGCCGGCCGGCGAGGCAGCACCGAGCAGATCGAACATCGGCATGTCGTAGTCGCGGATGATCCCTGCGGCCGCCGGGATGTCGCCGCGCTCGACGGCGTCCCAGTAGGCGCGGGTGATCTCCGGCTTGAAGACCACCAGCACCGACATGTAGCCGTCGCATCCGTAGGGAAGCATGTCCAGGTGGGTCTGCTTCTGGCCGCCGGCGAAGTTGCTCCACGTCCCCTGCGACAGAAGACAGGCCGGCCGCGCGAACTCCGGGCCGTAGTCCTCCTTGAAGCCGATGATGCGGTCGCCTTCGGCCAGCAGCAGCCGCACCGCCTCCAGCGCCCCGCCAAGTCCGAGCGGCGCCAGCGTGGCGCTCAGGATCACCGTCGGCAACTCGCGCGAGACGGCCAGGAAGTAGTCCACGGAGTCGCGCACCGTCACGCCCCGGTACGGTGGGGAGGCGAGCACGCCGTCGGCGCCGATCTCGGCCGCGTAGCGGGCGAAGGCGACCGCCTGGTCCCGCCACCAGGGCCCCGCCGCGGCCAGGAACATCGCGCGGCTGCCGATATGCTCGCACGTCGCCCTGGTGAGGTCGGCGATCTCCTGTTCCGACAGCACGGCGTAGAGACTGTCGCCGGGGGGGGGTGAACAGGATGGTGCGCGCCCCGCCGGCGATGGCGGCGTCGACGAATCGGCGCAGGCCGTCGTAGTCGATGGCGCCGTCCTCGCGAAACGGCGTGTTGATGGAGCACAGCGGGCCGGTGAAGTGATGCTTGAACCGCGCCCTGTCCATGCCGGGAGAGCATACCCGATGCACGGGCCGCGTGCGTTGACGCCGCCCGCCGGAGCACTATCGTTGCCGACATGCTGACGATAGACGGGAAGCGGGTCTGTGAGACCCTGGCCGAGGTGGTCGATCCGAGCCGCGCGGCGCTGGCCGTGATCGACATCGAGAACTCGTCGATGTGGGACGACGGGCCCGACCGCGCCATCCTGGAGAGGGGATGATGATTGAAAAATGATGAGGCGTGGTGAGGAAACCAAGGAGAACATAAGCACAAGGAGGACTCGAGATAGTCATCCGGAAGCGATAAAGTGACAGATGATATCAGAGGAGGAGAGAAAGGAAGGGGGAACAGTGAGAAGGAGCACAAATAAAGGAAGAATGAAGAAAGCGGAGAGATATGTTTATATTCTTCATTTAGTCGGTAAAAACATCGGAAACAAGGAAGAGAGTGACAACCAGGGGAGAGCACGAAGCGGAACCCGAATGCGGTGACAACCTCGCCTGGAGGCCTGGAGACAGAGGGAAATCGTCATCCCCAAGGACCGCGGCAGCGCCTTCAAGGGCACCGACTTCGATCTGCTGCTGCGCACCCTGCAGCGCGAGAGCGTCGTCGTGGCCGGCGGAGAGGAATGCCCAAAATCATGGGGATGAGGGGGAGGCAGACCTATATCACACCCACCACCCACCCCCACCTCCTCCCCCCTCTGTTCTTCCCTTGGTTTTTTGTCCATTTCCCTCTCTATCTTTTTTCCAAGATGGGAACGGAAAGGAATAGAAGTAATAACGGGGGTGGGAGAGCGGAATGAAGGATGCATCGCAAAGACAACAGAACAGGCAAAAAGGGACGAGATAGGGTGCCAGAGTCTCCGGGGATCGAATCGGACATTGACCACCTCCGCCGAGTTGCTGCATCTCTGGAGAGACACGGAAACAGCACACAGTAGAAACAGCGACATAGAATGATAGCTCCGCCCCCGCATACAGGGAGAGATATGAGTTTACTCAACGATCATTGCGTAAATTTGCACAATGACTATATGTAAAATAGATGGTCGGCGACCCGCGCTTCGCGCCGCACAACCTCCATCTCGATGATCCCAAGGTGTTCCGCGCGATGGACCCGCAGCTCCGGGAACTGCAGCGGCTCCCCGTCGCCTACCGCTACCCATGCGGAGCACTCTCGTGGACGGCCGGCGTGTACTCCGATCACCCGAAGCGGCGTGTAGGCAAGTCACGTGCTCAAAACACCGGTGGTAGTGGCGAAGACCTGAGGACGCAGGCGCGTAGCGACCGCAACGGATTGTGTACCTGACCGGCGAGCTGATCGATGACCACCATGCACTCGTCTCTTTGCTCGGCAGGATCACCCCGGAGCGATCCCCCACCCGTCCCGCGTACCCTGCTCGTGGACGAGGTCACCTACATCCGGGACTGGGATCGAGGCGTCAAGTATCTGGCCGACGCGGGGTTGCTCGACGCGTGGTCATATCCGGACCGGCTCCGACACATCAAGGCGAAGAGAAGTCGACATGACGCCTGCGTCGAGCGCGCGAGTTCCGACGATCGAGTGAAAGTGACGGACCACAGATCCGATCGACCGACCGAAAAACAGGCGAGGATAGTAGGAAGTACCCGCAACGCACTGATCTGCTCCAGGCTTGCCGCGGACCATCTCCACGGGCTACCGAACGAGCTGCTGCCCGTGCACCTGCAACGCCTCGGGCCGTCGCCGCATTACGTCACGTGGTAGACCGAGGTCCGAGTGCATCGCTGGGACGCAGGCACGCCGATTTGACAGCCGCGGGGCGGTGTCGGCACCTTCGATAGCAGTGTCTATCGAGGAGGCTTCACACATGAATCGAGCACGTATGCTGCTCATCGCAGCGGCGCTCTGCGCATTCGCAGCCGCGCCACTGTTCGCCACCGGTGAGGAAGAGGCCACGACGGCGTCGCTGCACGTCAGCCGGAAACCCCTGGACCTGATGGTCAGGACTGTCCGAGCCACGGTCACTACGTACTTTCGGCGCCTTCGTCGACGTGGACGCGGAGCGCTTCGACGCCAGCATGGCGCCGTTCGAGGAACAGACCGGAGCATACGGACATAGTCTAGAGGGGATTCAGGCGATTCGAATCGATGGTGGTGGGAGATATGAGAATAAGAGGGACGCGAGGATCGAAGAAACGAAAGAGACACGAACGAAAGAAGAAGTGAAGTAAGGAGGGAAAAGAAAGGGTGAAGAAGATTGGAGGAAGCGAACGCAAAGGGAAGAGGCGTTAAGAAAGGGAAGAAAGAAGACAGACAGAAAGAACGCGGACCAGAATGGATAGAAAGGGAAGACTCCTGTAATAGAAAAGATCGCGGGGTCTGGTACCGCGCTTCGCTGAAGAGCCTGGTCTGGTACGCGAAACCGGTATTCGAGGCGAGGGTACGCCATCCCGGAGACCTGGGACGAGCTGGTCGCGCTCTCCGAGCAGATGGTCAGCGACGGCCACGTCCCGTGGTCGATCGGCATCGAGAGCTCCGCGCAACGGCTGGGTCGCCACCGACTGGATCGAGGACATCATGCTGCGCACGGCGACGCCCGAGCAGTACGACGCCTGGACCCGCGGGCGCTGCTCGTTCAACTCGCTGAGGTAGAC